GGGGCCTGGGGCAGCAGACCCTTCCTCACCCTCTCAGAGGGACCAGCCCTGCCCACACCTGGGTCGGGATGTCAGCCTCCAGCACTGAGACGGGAAGTTCCCGCTGTGAGCCCTCAGCCTGGGCCCTCTGTTAGGTGGCCATAGCAAATGAGGACATCGGGTCCTCACTCACGGGGCCCAGGGGATGCACCAGGCACTGCCCTCTTGGCTTTCCTCATGACAACCACAGAGGGACACCCTCATCCCAGCCCCAGCTGTCCCCCAGCCCCACACTCCAATCCGAGACAAGGCCTCTCTCTCCCAGGTGACAGCAAAGCTCCCATGAGGGAAGCCCTCGTCCCCAGCACAAGTCCCTTGACCCGCGTGCACACAGGGACTCTGGAAAGCCTTCAGAGCGTGAGCTGAGGCCGTCTCTGCGAGCGCCTTCCATGCGGAGGGACCGTCCAGGGAGGTGCCTCCTCTGGGCTCAGGACTGGAGGAACCTGGGGGCCATTGCCCGCTGACATGGGATGGATCCTGCTGGACCCGGGACCCAGTGCCTCTGGCACAAACAGGTGGTGGCCCTGCATCTGCCTGGTTCTGTTCTGACTGTGAGTGGAGGAAGCTGGGCGCACCCGTAGCGCATCACTGTGGCTTGGGGTTCCTTCCCAGCTGTTGGGGATCCCAGTCCAGGATTAGCCAAAGCCCGGCCTGGGATGCCCCGCTGGACAGAAAGGTGCTGCTCAGGAATGCAGGATGCATCCACCATGACCACTTCACTCCAGCCCTTGGTCTGACCTGGCAAAGGAGGCGGGGACCAGGGCCCCTCAGCCTGTGGTGATGGACTGTCCTGGACGTGGCACCAGAGCTGTCCGTCTTCTCTAGCTCCAGTAGTGACCTCAGTGGAGCTTCTTCATCCAGGGTGCTCTGAGCCTGATGGGTCCCCAGCTCTTCTTCTGGTTTCACACAACTGGGCTCGTTCACACTGTGACCCGGACAGGGTCCCCACTGTCCCCTCTTGTGCTGAGTCCTCATTCCTCAGGTGGAAGCTGGGTCTTCTGGTCCTCCTGCCCCAGATCTAGATATGGGGGGGACCGGCACTCATGGTGGGTGGATGTCGGGGGATGAAGGGGAGAATGACTCGCTGGGACCCCTCCTCAGTGGACTCAGTCCTCCACCTGTCGCTGAACGTTTCCTACTCAGGTTAGGAAGGAAAGCAAGAGGATGACGCCTGGAGCCCAGGGATGCACCTGTGACCCCCTCTCTCCTGGCTGGACGTCTGAAAGGCTCTGTGGGGAACCTTGGCGCCTGCCACTCCTGTGCTTAGGGATTTCCTCCAGGTGTCCACCCCCCTCCATTCAGTTCTGATCTCTGTTGCCTGCTCCATGCAGCCTTCCTATCCTTCAAGATATCTGTTTGCATTTCCCCTCCTCTTCCCCCTCCCACTCCCTCCTCCTCCCCCTCCCCCTCCTTCCCCTGGGGGACAGCTGCCCTATCAGACCCTGCATCAGGGGCACAACACCCCAGGTGCCAACTCCAGAAGAGGATCTGCACTACAGGGATAGGTCCCCCAAGTGTCAGGAAACCCCCAACTCAGGTGTCAGGGGGGCTGTGCTCAGCAAGCCTGGAGACACATTTACTCAGGGGTTGCAGCCAACTGCATAAAAAAGCAGGCTGTGGGATCAGAGGGACCTGGCTCTTGCCCCATGGATAAGCTGCGTGTCTCTAGACAACTTATTGAACTTCCGAGTCTCAGCGGGTTTTATTGATAAATTGGGCTCATCACAGTTGGTTAAGAGAAGTAAATGAGAAAACTTTTGTGAAGTTTTAAGGACAGCATGCTAGGTTAGGGTTAGCCCTCTGCTATTGTTAGGACTTGTGCAAAACTTCAGCCACTAGATGAAGAGTGAGATAAAATAAGCCCAGAACAGGAGGCCAGGAGGAGGCTGGTGGGCAAGTCTTCCTCACTAGTAAGAAGACAAGTTCTAACCTCTAACTGACATTAACTAGGATCTTTATTTAGAACCCACAGCTAAAACTCTTGAAGAAGATCAGTTTTGGACTGGGATGAGTGTTTTTTTCTTTTTCCCCCAGATCTCCAGGGCCAGCTAAGGAGGGAGGGTCTGTCCTGGGTTGTCCTGTGGTTGTGTGGCTCAGGATTGAGAGAAGGAAAAGGGCTCTTCCCTAAGCTGGGAGCACTGGGGCCACCTGAAAAGCAGACATGGCCTTGCCCAGGCCATCACAGCTGGGCTCAGGACAGGTCATTGCCCCACCGTCTTCGTCTCTCTGGGAAACTGGAGCAAGCTTCTTTGAGTATCAGCAATTAATACAATTAGTCACATTAATAAAATACAGGAGAAAAGCCACATTGTCATGTAAATAGATGTACAAAAAGCATCATATATCATTACTTTCCATGGGAGACTAGGTGAAGGGTGTCTATAAGCAACCAATGACAACAAAAGGCAAATCATTAAAAGTCTTCCATTTAAAATCAAGAAGAAAATGAGAAGGTGGGAATCGCTACTATCATCCACTATTTTGAGCAACTTGCATGATACAATAAGAAAAAGAAACAAACCATATAAGCCTTGGAAAGGAAACTCTAAATCATGATAGATAATTGATTGTCTGCAAACAAAAAATGAAAGGAATTACTCAGGTTTGTCAGGGTTGCTGTATACATGGATATGAAATCAGCATTCAAAATCAACTACTTCTCTACACACCTACAATAAATAATTTGAAAATGCAATTGAAAGACACCAATTAAAATAAAAATAAAAAATAGGTTACAGAAATAAATTTAACAGACACATGAACAAGTTTCAAGAATAAAATACGATATCATAAAAAAACATTTTAGAAGCTTAAAAAATAATTGGAGTAACATACCATGTTCATGGAGAGGGAAATTATCACATTGAAAGTCCCAAAAGTTTGTTTTTTTTCTTTTTATAAACTTGATTGGCTAATTCAAAATTAGCCAGTGGGCAGTGTTTGCAACCACCTTCCAATATCAAAGAAAACCTACAGTGACATGTGCTAGCAGATGTCAAGACTTTAAAATAAAGCTGTAGTGATTAAAACAATGCTTTATTAGTTCAAAGATATGCAACTAGACAAATTAAACAGAGTAGAGATGACATTCAGAAAAAGCTTCAGGCATATTCAGAAGTCAGTATAGACTAAGAGGGGCATTGCAGGACAGGAAGTGGAAGAAAGGAAAATGGTTCACCATCTCAGCCATAACCACTAAAAGTGGGTGAGCTGTGGGGAGCCACTCTGAATGACCTGCACCTGCCCTCCTGAAGTGAGAGGCTCTGACTGGTCACTACATGTCATAGTGACCTGGACGTTGTTCTGCTTCAAGAAGTTGAGGGATGTCTCCTGATGTAGGAGTGTCACCCATGGGGTTGAGCCACAGTCACCTGCTCCTTTGTAATCCTACCCCTTTGTCCTGTTTGGGATGGAATGTTCCAAGGAAATGCCCTTTGTGTGTCCCCTTCTCCTGCTCTGCCCTTGGGTGTGGCCTTCCTAGATGTCAGTCAACCAGCTGACAGCAGACATCAGGAAGCTGGACTCAGCCCCTGAAACCTGACTCCTTGCCTCATTGGAATGGTTTCTCCTCAATAAAAGGGGTCAGCCCTGTGCTCTGTCTCTCTTTCCATGGACTCCTGAGTTTAGAGGAGCTGTCACAGGACCCCCCCCCCCACAGAAAGGTATCTCTCTCTCTCTCTCTCTGTGATTATTTCCTGCAGCCCAGGTCACCTGGAGTGACCCTGAGTGTTTAGTTGTGGAACACGACAGTAAGGACATTCCTGTGAAGGAAAATTTTAAAAAATTTTAGAAGAACATAGAGTAATTTTCATTTTTAGGTTATCAACAATTTGTTAAGCAAGAACAAAAAGTATAAAACATAAATGAAAATATAAAATAATTTGCTACATTAACATTTAAAACTGGAAGCCAGGCATGATAGTGCACACCTGTAATCACAGCCACTTGGGAGGCTGAGGCAGGAGGATCATGAGTTTGAGGCCAGTCTGGGCAAATTAGTGAGACCCTGTCTCAAAATTGTAAAAGGAAGATGGGGGCATAGCCCAGTGGTAGAGCACTTGCCTAGTTTGTGAGAGGCCCTGTGTTATATCCCTAGTACTAAAAAAAAAAAGAAAGAAAGAAAGAAGAAAGAAAAATGTTTGTTTTCTCAAAAGATACTACAAATTCAACAAACTGGGAAAAGATATTTAGGACACATGTAACTAACCAAGGACTTGTAAAGAATTTCTACAAATCTAAAATCAATATGAAAACATAGCCCCACAACAGAAAATAGAAGTGGACAAAAGATAAAAATCTAGGTCACACAGGTGGGCAGGAGTGACAGATGGACACAGCCACATGCCACTTCCCACCCACTAACAGGGACGAATGGGGAGTCTGGCAGGTTCAGGGAGGGGTCGGCTGCTGGGGGAGGGGTGGGTACAGTGACCTGGAAGTGGATGGGAAGGGCCTGGTAGAGTGGAGTCACAGGGGCAGTAAGGCCTGGGGCCAGGCTCCAGAGACATGTAGAACATGGGCCAGGGAACAGGTCAGGGATGTTGGGGGCAGCATTGTGAGTGATAGAGGCAAAAACTCAATAAATAAAAAAGGAGAAGAGGAAGACGGGGAGAGGAGGAAGAGGAGGGGGAGAGAGAAAGCAAGAGGGGGGCCAGAGAGGGACGGGGGGGGAGGGGAGGGGGGGGGGGGGGGGGGGGGGGAGAGAGAAGGGAAGGAGACGCATCAGAGGACAAGGGACAGGAGGAAGAGAGAAAAGGACCCGAAGAGAAAGAAGAAACAAACGCCCGGCACATCCGGGCAGCAACACCTCCACGTGGACGAGTCCCCAGGTCGAATGACCAGTGGCCATCACAGGACTCGGGACTCAAGGGCGCATCAGGGCTGGGTGTAGCTCAGAGATGGACACCAAGCTGCACGCGGCCTGTGTCCCATCACCGACACCAGGAGGAGGAAGACCAACATGAACATAAAATCCTGTTTATGTAAAGTTCAACAATGAGCAAAGCTAAACCTCGCGCCCTGGGGAGCATACGCATGGGAGTGCAGACCTTCAAGCAGGTGGAGGAGGAGCATGCAGCCCTGTTAGGGCCCCCCAGGAGGGTAGGAAGGAGGCACAAGAGACCAGAGAGCTGCATCACTTCAGCGATGCCCCGTGACAGGCTGGGCACACGGGCTGCAGTGGCCTTGGCTGGAAGTGCACGCACTAGACACGCCTGTCCATGTCTGTGATGAGCCAAGGAAAGGCTTCTAGAAGGTCACAAAGGCCTCAGAGGGTTCTAATAGAAATGCAGATAAGTCAGGAGTTGTCCCCTCCTCCAGCAGGGGGTGTCCCTGGAGGTGGCCTCAGGACAGCAGAGGTCACTGGTTTTCACAGTCATGCTGCCCGTCACCTGGACCTGGAGCTTCTCTGAGGCCTGTTCACCCAGAGGACAGCACTGAGCATGCTCAGGAGCAGGAGCACCTTCAAGGCCAGGAGCAGGAGATGGACATTGATGACCAGGGCCCTGCGGGGGACATGGGAACCGTGAGCTTTCTCCTCACAGGGAGGCACAGTGCCCTGCACTTTGCCTCTGTCCCTTACACCCTGGTCCTGTCCCCTGGAGTCCCCATGAAGACCAACCCTGACCAAGGCAGTCCCACATTAAACATCTGAGTCCCCACTAGACACCCCAAGAAGGGCCCTGGACTGAGCATGTAGGAAGGGCATGGCCACAGGAAAGATGTGAGGGGAGCCCAGGCGTCTAGCAGGGACCCGGGTCCAGGGAGGGATTTCTACCTCCCCTGCCACATCTGGGGGTTACCCCTGGGTGTGGGGGTCTGCAACCTGCCATGAGTCGGCATTTCCACCTTCCACGGGAAGGGGACTGTGTGTTCACCCACAAGAAGTGGCCACGGCCGTCTCTGTACAGGCCACATGAGCTGTGGACTCCTGGCTGCTGACAGAATGACCCAGCCCCAGCTCAGCCCCACCTGCCTCAGAGGACCGGGTCAGGAAAACAGGCTGACACTTGTGACCAGGCGCGGGGAGGGAGGCAGAGGGCAGAGAGTGTCGGGGACACCAAGCACCTGCTCCCTGCCCAGCAGGTCCTGGGGCCCTTGGGCAGGACATTTGTGCTCTCTCTTCCCTCTGCCTGGGCCGCTCTCTCCAGATCCCAGGTGCCTGTCCCCAGCCCTGCAGGCTCCACTCACATGGCCCTGGTCAGCAAGGCCTCCCCTGATGGTCCCGTGACACATCCCCCACCCCCTCCACACTCACCCCCACCCAGGACAAGTCTGCCCAGCCCCCCTTGCTGTGTCTAGACCGACTGTGCTGACCTGTTCACTCCTGAACCCACCACAGAACAGTGCAGGCCACGCACGACTGTCTGGGTGGTGGCCACTGTGTCCCAATGCCAAGAAGATCACCTAGCACTTAGTAGGAGCCTCGTGGTAAAGGGTGGGACTGGCGAATGCAGGCGGGACCCAGAGGAGGAGACCCAAGTGCTCCCCAGGCCCCTCAACAGCGCTCACCACCCAGAGGCAGAGCCCTGAGTACAGGCCTTACCCAGGCTGTGGGTGGGGACTGGGGGTGTCCTCTCTGGTCGTGAGGGGCCAGGTGGGTGTTGACAGGGATGTGGGAGGCCTCTGGGTGCTTGTGGGGCTCTCAGGGCTGGAGGCTGTGGTCAGGGCTGAAGGGGAGGCACAGGTCAGCACACTCTGCCCCTGGTTTGTTCTGACTCACCCAGGTAGGTCACTTGGAGCCTGCTGGACAGACGTCCTGCATCCAGCAGTCTCCTGGCCACAGCTGGGCCTGAGCAGGACTTCACCCCGCCCATCTCCAGGTGCACTGTGGCAGAAGCACTCCACTGGGAGGACTGCATTCCAGAGGAGGGCGGGGGCTCCTGGGAGGACCCTGCAGCAGGGCCAGTCCATGCACCACCCTCTCCTCCTGCTCCCCTCCCTCCTGGGGACAATCACAGTGAGGCCTACTGTGTAGAGATTGACACAGAGAAACCAGAGACGCAGGGCCCTGGGCAGGGACACGGACAGAGTGACTTCAAATGACAGCAGAGATGGTCTATGGCTCCACAAGGGATGCTGTGACCCAGGACCACCAGGTCCACTAGGAGCAGAGTCCTCTTAGGAGTCAGGAAGCCTGCACAGTGGTATGGGTCCTTTTTAGAAGGACCCCAGGACCATGATGGAGGAGCTAGTGTCCCAAGACCATCCACAGCAGAGAGGGGTAGGTGACCCAAGTGAAGGTGCCCTTCTATAGGGGAAGCAAATGCTGTGAGGGTCCTGTCCCAGAGGGAGGGTGGACACAGGCCCAGGTGAGACACGGGTCTCCTTTGGAGAGGACATGACCCTCACCTGGTCAGGAAGTCAACAAAAAGCCAGGGACCCAACAGCCAGTCCCACTCCCACTCCTGGAAGGTTTCAGACCTGGACTGTTAGAGTGGGGCCCACACAGACACTGGAACAAATAGGTGTGCTTGTGTGTGCACACACAGTTGTCTGCATGCGCACGCGTGCGCACACACACACACACACACACACCAGAAGCCAGCTTCCACAAAGGCCTGTGCACACACAGACACCCTGTTCTGAATCCTGGAATCACCAAGAGCACGCTCTCCTCCCCCATGTCTTTTTAGGGAGGGAATGGCTGTATTCTTAGGTATTTTTTGCAGAGCTCTGAGTCTATGAATCACAGACTCCCAGGGGCCACAGGAGCCCCACGTTTGCAGCCAGTTGTCAGAAATGCTGGGACCTGGGCTGCCCCAAAGTGCAGCTGGTGTCTTGTGTGGGGTTCTGGGGTCAGAGCCCTTAACCTGGGTCTGCACGGACTGCAGTGGTCAGCACCAGGAGCCAACTGCTCCCCCCAGGTGAGGTCAGGTGGGGAGCCCATGACCCCCAGAAATGGCCTGTGCCTGCTTGCATTTTTCTGAGGAGTCCACAGATGTGCTCAGTTTCTCTGTGAGGTTGACGAACCCCCCAGATAGAGACCCACTCAAATTAGAGGGGAGAGCCCCAGACTCTGGAGTCACGTAGGCCGAGCCCAGCCCCACACCTGTGCCCATGTGACAGGTGACACAACCTCTCCTTGCAGTCTGTGAGATGAACATGGGAGTACGTTGGGGTCATGTCAGGAACCAAGGAAGACAGCATGTGGGGCTCTGGGCACCCAGCAGGACAGCCCCAGCCCTCATGGGTGGACACTTGCCTCCCCCTCTGCCAGCCACTCCTTGGTCTGAGCCTCTCTTGAAGCCTGGGACAGGTCCAGTGTGGTGGCCTCAGTGACCCAAGCCAGGTTACACAGAGTGCAGCTTCCAACCTGGGCCTGGGGCCAAGGGTCAACAGGCTGGGCCAGCAGGGGTGTGACTCCCTCCCCCGAGTGACCACACAGCCCCAGTGGAGAAGACCCCAGTCAGGGACAGGACACTTACCCTGGGCCCTGGCCATGGTCGAGGTCCTGGCTCCTGGGACCAGGGGTGGCACTCTCTGTGGCCAGGCTGGTGGACAGTGCACCTTGGGCTCTTCTTGTGGTTGTCAAGATCTTCGCTGTCGTGACACTTGTAAGTGTCCCTGAGGTTGCTGGTGGCAAATCTACAATGACCCCAGAGGTCTGTCCTGCAACCCGCCCACCACTGGGGGATGCCTTGGGCCTGATTTCATGCCAAATGCTCACTCAGGAAGGGGGTGGGCGTGGCTAGGGCCAAAGTCCCCCCAGGACCCTGGGGACATTTCTGTACAGGACACAGGTACCACCCCCAACAGGGCTGATTCCTTCCTGCTGTGAGGGCCATGGCCTCCTGAGACCCCAAGGGTCACCTCCCCACACCTGGTCTCGTCCCCCTCCCATCACAGCCACAGGCTGCAGGGATATCTCACTGCAAAGACCACTTGTCACTGTGCTGCCTCTGCCCACTGCACCATCCGGGCCTTCTGCCCCTCTGCTCCGCCCTGGGTGTCCACACAGAGCTCTGCCTGTCCCTGTCCCCAGGGCCCAGGGCAGGAAGTGGCTCTCTCCCCTGCAGGCTCTGATCTCACCTCCTTCCCTGACTGGCAGCTCCTCAGGGCTGGGCAGGCTGTGGGCTGCTCCCCCCCTTGGACTCCCTCCCAGGCTCCAGCTGCTGGTTTCTGATTCTTCCCCAGGTGTCCAGGTCCAGGCAGCCCAGGCGCTG